CAGGAGAGAGAGACACATAGCCTGGCTAACTTTGTGCATTTCGCCTTCCGTTATTTTTCTTTTTGTTTTGTGATCTTGAGATGCTGCTCACCTGAGCTAGTTTTGAAGCTGGAAAAAACAGGGAAATAAAGCAGGCTGCATAATCACTGTTTTGCTAAGTTTCCTTTTAACTCCGAATTCTTGTTTTCAGATGCTAACAACGCAAAGCCTTAGTGCTTAAAACCCACTTGACTGATGTGAAAAGCAGCTCTACATTCCATACCTCATCCAGCCAGACTGTTAAAATATTTAGTACTCTATTTGTTATGCAGGAAAAAAAAAAAAAAAAAAAAAAAAAAAAAAAAAAAGACCAAGACAGTATTTACTAAGGAGTGAACATTCTTTCTGGAACTATTGAACGTGCCAATTTTTGATGGCAAGAACAAAGCATGAAGCAAATCCAAAAGCATGTCTGGACCAGCTTCAGTGATCTTGTCTGACCTATGCATAGGACATAAGAATATTTTTCAAATAGCTTTGCTGATGCCAACTGCTGCAATGTACTTCCCATATAAGAATATTGTTTAGATTTCTAAGTGACGTGAGTCAATGCAGCAGAACTCTCCATTCTCTACAAACCAATGGCAGCAATAGGAGAGCGCCGACAGTATGCTGCCATAGCTGGGAAAGGGCCCTCCTGGTGGAGTTTCTGACAGTGTCAAAACCTGCTAGGAAACACTTGTCCTGGAAGCAGTGCAGTGCCACAGCCTCCTCGCCCTTTATGACTAGCTTTCTGTGCCACTCATTGAAATGCTGGGGTTTCAACCCCAAGCCCCAAATCAAGGTTGACATCTGGGTGGTTCCCACAGCCCTTCCCAAAGGGGGGTGAGTTCCCCTTTAGGCTTCCCTCCAGGGTGGGGCCTTGCAGACAGAGCCGTTGGGTAAAGGAGCCCCAGGGGTCCCGCAGTGAGTAACCCAAGGTCAGGGCTCCCACTGCGGGGTAACAGCTGGGACCATTGCAGGAGGGGCAGTGTCTGTCTGTGAGGGGGGTGCCCTGGGCAGAGTTCCCTGTTGGGGAAGGACCTCCCGCCTCCCTGGGACTGGGCTCCACTCAGCTCTGGCTTTTGTAAACGCGGGCTGTGCAGAGATTCAGTGTGTGGCTTCCTTGGGCTGATGTGTTTGGCTTGTTGACTCAGTTGTCTCCCGTCCCTTCTATGGGAGATGCATGTCACCAGTTATCCCACCCGTTGTTGGTCGTGCGGTGTCGTTGTTGGGGTCAGTGGGATTGATGTCGATTATGTATAATCTGACTGGTTTGTACCCCCAGCGCTCACCCATGGACTGACCCTTGTGTGTCAAATACAATTTGGTTATTGGTTCATCTTTATGCTGGCCGTGTCCTTTATGCTAGGCCTGATAATTGACAAAACAATTATACAGTGAGGAGCAGGTCAAGGTCCAGCCAGCAAGGAAGGCTCAGGCACCTGCATAAGTAGAGCTATGAAAACACTGCACCTTGTCTATTAATTTGCACAGAATCCTTACGCAGAGGAATAAGATTGCTCCTGCAGCACAGGCTCCAGAAGAAGTCAGCTCACTCTGCAGTAGCACCAGAAGCTCTGGGAAGGCCCAGTCTGCGCGGTGCCCTCCTGCATTTGAGGCAGGTGAAGGCACCGGGCGTGTTGCTCAGCACTGCAGCGAGCACAGCCCAAGCTGCTCTGCCCAGCAAACCGGTTCTGCTGAGGGGTGCAGAGGAGAACCTCACCTTCCTGCAAAATGAATGTGCTTACGGCTCCTCTTGCTCTTCCTTCACTAGCACACCCAGCCCCAAGCCAAGTCTGAGAGCATCTCCTCAACCCTGGAACACCCGAAGGCCTCTTAACAAGCCCAGCATTTTGCCAAACCAACAAATCAGCAAATGATACAATCTGTCCTCCGTACCTTACAGATGCACATCTGGGAGTGACTTCACAGCCTCCACTTCAGAAAGCTCCCTCGGCACTTTTTTCCAAGAGACAATGGCAGTTTGCACGTACCAACCAGCTGAATTCTGGAAAGTTATCAAAAAACTCCACACCACCTCTAAACACCCCTAAAATTTTGCCATTGGTTCTGATTCTGTTCTGTGCTCCGCTCAACATCTGCCATAGTCCATGATGCAAACAGGAGCATTTCGGTGGCATAAGGTATAAGTACTCCAGGTCCATACATAAACTTCTTTTCTCCCTCCATAAAAGAATGAAGATGTGTGGTTGTGGACATTACAAAAGGAGAAAAAAAAGCCCACCCTCAAGTCCTCTTTTTCCATTCCAAGTAAAACTCAGACAGCAAAATGGAGCAGCTGGGTGCCCAATGCTAAGTGTGAAGGGGGACATTTTGATGCCCAGATGTGGCCATCATGAACACAGGTTTTCAGTCACAGATTCAGTAGACAGAAATTGTCAAAACCATCAGAGAAAGGTTTATTTTTATTTCTTTTCAGTGCTCACAGTCAGGTTTGCCAAAATCCAACCCTTCCCTACTGCTAATAGCACAGCTGTACTTCCACAAGGAAATGGGGCTAATGCTTCAGCCACCACCTCCTTTCCAAAAATAATTGTCCTTTTTACTAAAGATTTGAAGGTTCTGTACTATTGTCTACAGAGGCTCTTCTTATTAGTTGACCACTGTCCCGCTCCTGGTGGGGGAGGTGGGGGCAGGAGTGACTGCAGACAGTCCTTGGATCTAATGTTCATCACCAGACCACCCTCCTCCCAGTGCCATAGCCACGAAGAAATTCCTCTGTTTCATCTACGGGAAGAAATCCTAACAAGAATTTAGAAGTCAGATCACACAACTTTGGCCCCTCACCCACACTTCAGTGGTGTTTCAACATTAGAGACCTTGTAAGAGATGGAGCTATACAGAAGCGTGGAGGGGGGAGAAAACAGTGCTGACATAATTTAGAACATGCCATTTCCTTTTCCTAAATATAATATACTTCTTATTACTATTGATTTTGAGAGCTGGGGAGGATTCTTTCTCCCTAGAGTTCTTTCCATCAGGCCCAAATCCCCACAGTCAGCTCTTAGAAATGTGCACCTTTTTTTTTTTTTTTTTTCACGGCTATAGCAGTATATCCTCTGTAAGGATTATAGGGCAATAAACAACTGGAAACCACTCTGCAGCAACTTGAGTTGTGAGCAGAGTACACAGAGTAGGGAATACAGCCTGAAATTTAACAACGCAAAACCAGCTGGCTCAACGAACGCTTTCTTACTTCTCTCTTGCATTGTAAAGATTAGGTATCTTTTGCCTCTTAAGAAATGAGCCTGCTCAAAAGCAGAGATTCCTCTCTGCCTCTGAGAGTCCCCAGTGTTTAAGCTGGCGCCCAGCTCTGCACGGCGCATCTCCCGCCTGCGCACGCACCCTCGGTATGTGTGCGACACCCCTTACAGCTGCAGTCCAAAAGTAGCAGCTGCCTGTTGATACAAACCCTCACGCTGGAAAAAACAGGTGATAATGAATTCTTAAAGCATATGTAAGTATTAAGCAACCACTCCATGAATTGCCAGCAGCTGTTTCAAGAACCCTGCCCTGCTTGCCACAGGTATTTATTTAAAGTATGATACCCGCCCTGATATAAAACACATGCGTAGACACATGCATGTACTGCCCCTTAGTCCCTTAAGGCTTCTGAACCAGGCCATGCCAGCAATCTGGTGATTTCGAAGCTACCCACTGTGAAGCTTCCCATCATATAAAGGGAAATGAAAAAGAAAGGAAAGGATCTGGAGAGACATAACAGGGTCTAATTCCCTTGTCATTTTACAGACAGATCCTTAAAGAGAAAGTCATATAGCTGTTCAGAATTCCAACACTTCTAATATTCTTCTAATGTACATTTTGCTCAGACAATTAGATCATACTCAATCTCTCTCCCAGACTCACATACAAGAGGAAGAACTCCCCCATATTTTCACATCAGAAACACTTCAGGTATTTTCACTTATGGTTTTATCATTTTAACCTTTAAGGAATGTGGCAATGAAACATTTTCCCCTCCTTATTCAGTCAGTATAATCTAATTTATTTTTTTAAATATTTAGAAAGAATCCATCTATGTAGACCATTCATTGATGTTGCCTGAAATAGTTCAGTTTTTCACTGCACCCTTCTTCTCTGCTGCTGCCTGTAACCAGTTACAGCTCTAGCTGCCTCCTCCAGCACAGAACGGAGAGGGACAGTGTGCAAGAAAGTTGCTGAGGTTACAGAGGAAGCAATGACATGATGAGATAAAGGGAAAGCACCTCTTCTAAGATCATAGTTCTTTTGAATTAACTGAGAATTCAGACAGTAAATCAGAAAAAAAAAAAAAAAAAAAAAAAAAGTCTTAACTTTATTAAAGCAGTTACTGCTAGGTTTGGGAAATAAAACAACTCAGGCTCCGCAAATCCCGAGAATTCACCTCTGAAACAGCTCCATGTCAAAAAAACACTGAATAACACAGTGATCAAAGGCACTGTCAATACAATTATATTACAAGGGAGGATAAGAGGGAGGCCTAGACAACTACCAGTGTGAGTAACTGGGTTATACTGTAGGCTTGTTTTTAAATACTGCAATCCACCGTGTGAATGCTGCCGGTCTCATTTAACTGGGTCACCAAAACTTAGGCAAAACCCTACTAACTTAAGGCTAGGAAGTGCTGTTTGTTAGCCTAACTTTAGGCTACGAGATGTGAACGCCGGGAAGTGTAAGCAAACCCACACAGGTAAGGGCAGGAATCCAGGCCAGCAGATGGAACGGGGAAGAATGGTGCTCCTCAGTTTTCGGGACCCCTCTGCCCTTACAAATTAGTTCAAATTTCTTCCACATAGCCCACATTTAGAAACAACAGAAATTTAATAGGAATTTAAGAACAGAGTAAGCGCCATGCCCTCCCAAACTGCCCAGACAGTGGGTATCCGCCTTGAAAATTGTATCCCTGTCAAGCCCCAGGGTCCTGACAACCGTTTCACATAGTAATTTAAAGTAAATACCTTTCAGTAGGTAATCCTGCCACAGCCGTGTCTTGAAGTTCACTGAGGTCAGGGTTCTTAGGCTCAGCTGACGCAAGCGGTGATAGCTTTCTTTTGGCATCCTGAAGTGAGCTTTCACGTTCCGAATTCATCTTGCTCGGCTGATTTTCGGCAACAGTGAGATCCGTACGTGCAGAATGCTCACCCTGCTCCATCACAGAAAAGCTTGGAGAGTGATTTTTGCACATGTCTGCCTCCTGCTCTTCAGTGCCCGTGCTAATAGCTAAGTCGCCTTCACCAGTGACTAACATCCTTGCAGTACCTGTTTCAGGGATGTCTCCATTTTTTTCGTTACCTGTCTTTGCTGTGCTTAACACTGTGTCACCGTTCTCTTTTACATCTCCCTCAGTTGTATTGCTAGATTCTAGTTTAGAGTCAGTTTGCAAGCAATCATCCTGGCTTACTTCGGTTTTTAAGTAATCTATTAACCCATGCATGGTCACTTTCTTTTCCCGCTGTGCATCTTGTGAATTTTCCAATGTTTCCAAGCATTTCCTATTTACTGGATCGTCTTGTATCATCTGTATGTCATTCTGAGACTTAATTTCATGCATAAAATTGCTCTGAATGTGTGTCTCCTGATTTTCCCCAGGTGACACTTTAAAATTGTCTGGCGATTTTCCATGATTGTAAGATCCTTCCGGGACAAGTGTTGGAGCTGCTGTGTCAGAGATGCTTTTGGCAATGTCTGGATCCCCATACTCACTTTTCTCCTGTTCATTTGGCTCAGGATCCTGGCACTGTTCAGTAGGAAGATTTACATCCTCTTCAGATGAAACTGGTTCTGCATGACACTCTGTAATTAAGTTATTTCCCTCTGCTATGGCAGCATCTTCTAAGTCCCTCTTCTGTACATCGCCTGTGGTGGTAACAGCTACAGTGTGTTGTTGCTTACTGTCAGAATATGCAGGGAAGTTCTCAGCTGCTGCCCCATCAAATGAAGCCGGTCCTTGCTTCTTTATCTCTAAGCTTATTAGCGATTCAGGATCAGCACCACTAGCACACACACCTTCCTTCCCTTCCATCTCACTGCTCTCTGGATGCTCAGTGGTTTGGTCCAGCTTTTGCAGATTCTTCAGAGCACATTCAGCAGGCGTAGAGCCATCCAATCTAGGGACCATTTCTAAACAGCTACTGGGTGGCCCATTTTTCTCAGTATCCTGGAGACTTTCTGGTGGCAGCTCTGCCGCTCTGTCTTCTTGTTGCAGAGGTTTGCCCTGGGCAGCTTTGCAGGAAGCCTCCGTAGCTAAAGAGAACTCTTTCCCCTCTGCTTCTGAGGTGCCCTTGGGAGGTCCCTTGCCCACCTTGTTTGATTCTGAAGAGTTCTCAGCACCGCACAGTTCTGCTGTATCCTTGGCCACTGGGCTCTGCTTGAAGCCTGCATGGTTTTCAGACAAAAGTTGGGGCAATTCAGCACTCAGTGTGCTGTGGACAGTTTTTTTAAATATCTGACTGATATGCTCCCTGAAGTCTGGGAGGCTGGAGCCAATATCCAGAGAGCTGCAAGTCAGAGCCTCATGCTCCCTTCCAGAGTCCTCTGCAGACTGCTCGGAAATAATGATCTCTGCCCTGGTTGTGTTGTTATTGTCGTTTGAAAGCTCTTCCATTTTTTCTGAATTCCCAGCTTTCTCTAAGATCTTACCGTACTTGTCATCTACGCAGATACCGGTTGCAATTTCCTCATTACAGCCTTCTTGTTTAACAACAGATGAAAGGCTCAGCAGCTTCCCTTCTAGAGTAGGGAGAGCTAACAGAGACTCTGCTGAACTGTCACTTTGCTGTTCTTTGAAGTTTGCCTCACTTTGGCTTTCTTTGGATTTAACTGCAGATATCTCTTTCTTCAGCTTCTCAGAACTGAACTGTGATAAGTTTCCAGTACTCTGCCCCACATTTAAAGGCTCTGGCAGGGATAAATTCCTCTCTCCATCACCCTGAAAACTTTGGTCTGGAACATCTTTTTCATTCACACGCACACTCCCCGCAGAGCTGTTTTCTGAATTTGCTGGTTTACCTGTGCTTACCCCGGGTGAAGAACCTATGTGCGCAGACACCTGAGAACCTGCAGCCATCTGCAAATTATAGTTAACTTCTAAGGCATTTTGGCATGCTACAACTTCCAGCTCATTATTTAGTAATACCCCCCCAGTACCATTGTTCGTATTGTTTCCAGGTTGCTGGCTGGGATGGCTGAGTGCAGAGGTCTGTGTAGAGAGGGCTGTAAAATTTGCTTGACAATAACCAGGCTGCTCTGGTGTTTTTTGAATGCAGCTGGATTTATAGGACTGATCAGCGGGCACTACCTCCCCGGGTGCTGGTGATGGTGAAGGAGATCCTTGTGCTCCTGGACTTTTATCACTTTTCATGCTGCTTGTTTCTGTGACACTGTCCCCAGAACTTATCTCCATGTTGCCATCTTTCTGGATGATTTCCCTGTCAGCAGTCAGATCTTCAGTCTTTTCCAAGTCTTTTGCCATTAATGGCATTTTCCCTTGAGTTTCTGGACGAGATATTTGAGGATCATTTTTCTCAGAATTATCAGAAGTATGTGCTATTTCTGTATCACTTGGCAAAGCCTGTGATATGTTAGTGGCACTTGCTGAATTCTGTGTCCCTGGAAGAGTGTTTATAGCAGCGGCATGGCTTTCACCAGTATTATCCTTTATCCCACATATGCTGCCTGGCTGTTCATTCTTGTCAGATTCTTTAGAAAACGTATCGCTATGACATGCTGCTTCATGCTGACTAGCTGAGATCAAAGAATTATTATCCTGCTCAGGCTTGTTTGAGTTTTGCTTACTTTGGCAGTTTTTTTCTGCCTTGAGATCAGTTTTGTTTTGCTCATTGCAATCTTGCAAATTAAGCGTGGTCACACTAGAAATATTTTGCCCATGTTCGTGGCTGCACATATCCTCTGACACCAGGGCACTGCTTTCATCCTTGTCCTTTTCTTTTGCTGTGTCAGAGTCGCATTGGATCGGTGCTGTACCTAGCACAGAAGACTCTTTATGAAGGTTGTTTGAAATGTTTAGAGGTATTTCTGGTATGTTGCTGTGATTATTTAGGTCCAATGGCCGTTCAGGTTTTAGAGCCCTTTCTTTGTGTTCTTGATCATCTGCTCTTGTGACAGTTGTCAGACTGCTTTGCTGCTTCTGTTGTGCAAGTCCTGTATTTGAAACCCAGTCACTGTCACTAGCAACAGGGACTGAATTCTCCATTTGCTCTGCTTGGAGAAGAGCAGTTGGAACATCTGCATTTTCCCGCAGTTCTCTGATGCTGCACTCCAGGGTCTCCGAAGAGCTGCACGTGTCACTCTCAGAGGGGCAGTTGTTTTCCCTGACAGGGCTGTCACCCCCTTCCTCCACCTGAACTTGCTGAGGAGTGAGTCCTGAGGTACTGACTACAGCTTGGGAGGTTTCTGAACAAGCCACCTGTGTATTTCTGTGACTTTCTGCAGCTGCTTGCTCCAGCTGAGTTTGCACCAGCACATCCGATTTACGTTCAATTTTCAGTGCTAAAACTTTGTCCTCTGTCAAACTTTTCACCACAGTTTGGTGCTTTTCCTGTTGGATACCATCCACAGCGGTGCTCTGTGCAGCTGCGGCTGCACGTCCTCGCTCTGGATCACTGCAAAACACTTCAGTGATGTGACCGTGTCCTTTGGTTTCTGAAACCCGTGAGGCCTCCTTAGTTTGTGCAGCCGTAGTCCCTGCCAACTCACTGAAGCCCTGGAGCTCAAGTTTTGAGTTGGACATTTTTGCACTTTCTTCTGACGTGCTATAGCTCTCAGGCTTTCCTTGACTCTCGGCTTTGTATTCAGATTCTAACACAGTTTCTGTAGCAAAAGCCTTTTCCCAGGATTCATCCTGCTTACTCTGCTTAATATTATTGTTCTCAGCGTGGAGGAGCAGTGAACTGTGTGCACCAGCTAAACAAACCTTTTCAGTCTCGTTACAGCCTGGTTGGCCCAAAGTTTTGTCTTCTGCCTCAGTGTTAAGGTAGTCAAAACTCAGTGGTGCTTCCGTTGGAAACTGTGGTGAAGCCGCAAGCTTATTCTCCAGGTCATCTGTGGCATCTGTTTGCTCTTTACTCATTTGTTGTTCAGGTTTATAAACAAGAGAGTGAGAATTGTCTTTGGGCAATTTAAAGATACTGTCTAAATTCAGAGGCTTTCCCCCAGTTTTTTCCCCTAGGTCACCTGTTGAAGTCTTTTCACAAAGACTGAATTCTTCGGGATTGTGTCCCAAATGAGCATTTTCCATGTCCTGCAGGTGGCTACTAACAGAGTCCAACAGTTGTCTTTCTGCCCCTGTTGACCCCTCAGGTAATTCACTGGTTTGTGTCTCTTGTGCCTCCTCTATTCTGATTTCATTTTTTTCTCCTGTTAGACTTGCCTCAGTTTCTTTTTGATTCAGCTCTGTGGATCTGCTCAGAGAAACACTTAATGCATATTCTTCCAGTAATAATCTTTTATCTACCAGGGAATTTTCCTTGGTGGGACTGATAATACTTTCTGTTTCAGAAAGTGTGGTGCTTTCTCTAGACACATCATCAGCTTTTATAATTTCATTGCTACTGGCTTCATCTTTTGGGCTTTCAGTTGTGACAGCTGATTTTTGTTCTTCCTCTTGCTTAAATGATAAAGGCACACTGAAATGCTCGGCGCTAAGAAGCTCATCCTCCTTTTGAAGCTCTCTTTGAAAAATGGGTTCATTTTTTTCAGAGCCTGTTTTCACTGCTTCGTTCTTCATTGGCTCTTGAGAGTCATTTCCAGGCACATCTTCCCTCCAAGGCTCTTCAGGCTTTGGTACCAGGAAGGCATTTGGAGGGTTAGAAGGCAACTCTGACATTAGAGCTGTACAGGCTTCTGTTTGCTCCCCTTTGCTTCCAGATAGAGGTGGATTTGCCTCATTGCCTTTAGCTGTTGTTACAGCCCCCATCTGTAGATTACAGACTTCACTGATCTCAGTGAAGCCCTGAGCATTCACAATTGCTCCCAATTTTTCACTCTCTGAGCCTCCTGTTGCTGGATAATTTAGGATTAAGGTTTCCTTTTTCATTAGCAGACCCTCTCCACCATCTGTGTTCTGTCTACCTTGCTGCATTACAGACTGTGGCTGACCTACTTCCAAAACTCCTCGCTCCTGCTTGGCCTCCTGAGCAGTAAAATAATCCCCTGCTTCTTTACCCTGGGGAAACGTGCTGACATGTGGTTCCCTCATGCCACCCAGCTGTTCACTCTGCCAGGGCGATCCTAATTCACTCAAACTCATTTGTGTGACTCCTTGCATTTCTGTAATTGCTGCAGGAGGGCTGGGCTCCAAGCTTGGCTTTCTGGGGTCATTCTCACTGTTTTTCATAGAAGCAGCAGCAATATTGTGACAGTTTGGGCCTCTGTCCACAGGTTTGGCACGTGCTATTCCCTCTTCTTTGTCTTTCACTGGAGTGGGTGATGGCAGTGCTTCATTGCAATTTGAGGTTGGTAACTTGTCATTGCTGCTTGTAAGATCTGCTGTGACATGTTCTTTGGCACAGTCTGCAAAAGGCATTGAGATAGGCAGACTTCTCTCTCGTGGTTCTGCAGCCTGCTTTAAGAAATGAGAGTCTGTTTGTCCTCCTTGCTCTTGCAAGATAGTGTTCTGTCCTGTCACCTCTGAAGACACCACACTTGAATTTGGGTTGGATAAGTCTTCGGTACTGTAGCTACTGATGCCTTCATTACTGTTGCTGCCAACAATGGAAATGTTTATTTGTTTCATGTCAATAAAGAAGCAAAGAATACGACACAACTGAAGCAAAGAATAAAACCAGTTTTTGCCATTGATGTTTCAAAGCCATGCAGTGCATGCACTGAGAAGCTGATAATCTGCTTTCAGGAGCTAAACCATCACACATGTTGCAGTGATTTAAATGCTCATTACTCTGGAAATTATGTCCCCAGTCTTACCTGACAGCCAGCACGCTCATGGCATGCATTTTAACCATTCCAAAATCTTAAAGTGTGGGGAGAGGGGACACACATCTAACAGACTAACTGAGCAACATAAGAAAAAGAGAAAAAAAAAAACAACTGGAAAACCACCAGTACCTCAAAGAAAGTTTTTCCATTTCTTCTTCCGTGAGATTACTTTTTGCAAAGCTAAAGGCCGTGCAATCCACAGTAACTGCTGTTATCTGGCTACACTTTTATTGCGTAGCCGAAGACTAAGAAGGGCCCATCTGCTGAATGTTTTCTCTAACTAATCAGCACAGTTGATTCTCATCAAAAGGTCAAAGGTCTCACCCTGTCGACCAACTTTGCCACACAATGATACACGCCCTATGAGGTCATTTTATTGCAGTGTTTGATTTCAGTGCATATAAGCTATAACCGTTTGCATGACCTCACTCCCACCCATTGAAGAGAAGACAAAAAAACAGAAACACAGATGATGTGGGTGCACTAACCACAGAAAAGAAGTTGCTTTAACTGTTTTTCACGTGCATTGTGTGGTCTTCAGTCTCCACACCTAGGTTGGGAAGTGATGAAATATGTTAACCTTGTTCTCTCCCTCACCTCCCCTGGGAAGCCTGGGCATATTTGCACTACCTTAGGAAACATGGAATGAAATATCAACTCAAAACCTGACGTAGAATTGTACCTAGGAGCAAGGGGCGTTATTTACTTAACATGAAATAAGAAACCTTCCCCCCACCCCCATCCAAAGCAAGATAAACTGACAGCACGTTTTCAAATGCTTGGAGGTCAGCGAGGCAGCAGCACGCTCTGGTTCTGTTGCTGATTGTTACTGATTTATTATCAATTTGAGTTGATGATTTTTGGTGATTTTGATAAGAAATTATTAGGACTAATCATCTAAACGGAATCTCACAGAAATACAGTTTTTTATAAAACATAGTGGTGTAATGTTTTAAGTAGTCCTAGAGATGTGTTCAGTTTAAAGTAACCATACAACCAGTTAAGCCGCTGGATGAGGCACCACTGTTAGACTGCTTGGTGAGGATGATTTATAGCCCTGTAGACTGTTTTCAAAGTTGTATTGTGAAAGGGCCTCGAAGCATGTTAAACTTGCCACGTGAGCCAAAGTCCTTGAGTCAGGGACATTGGGGGGTCTCTCTTTGGAGTCAGTAGTCTGCGTTGGTCGCAAAAGCAGCCCCCTGACTCATTTCAGGACTCAAGGGTGCATGGCCAGAAAGAGGTGGGGATATGAAAATGAGTTACAGGAATTAGCGTGTTTATGTATGAGGACTTGATTAATATGTATTACTGTATCCAATATAATCAGCACGCTACAGGAGTGAGGTGTGCACTGTTGGTGAGACAACTCCCCTGCACACCCAGCTGTTAATAAAGGAGTGTCTGCTTATCTACATCAAATTGGTGTCGATAAATTCTTTTATCCTGTTTTGGTGACAGTTCCACAGCTGGACAGAGAGGGGTCGTTCACAGTGAGCCCATCACCGGAGCTTTGCCACAGCTTAGCGGTAACATGCTATGTTTTAGAAATTCAAAGTGCCCAACAGACTGGAGCCATAAAACACCTTCTGTAAGGCCAAGCCTAGATTGGATTTTAAATCATCTTAAGAAGTCTGAGAAGCGCCTCTCCCCTTCTCTGCCCAAGTTTTAGGCACAGAATACTTGATGGAGAAGTGAGTCAGTGACCAGCTCTCAGGTCCCTGCAGTTTAGTCTGGGTTTAGACAAACACCGGCCCGTCAGTAACCTCTGGAGCAGCGCCGAAGCCCCATGCTCTCGGGGCGTGCTGCAGTGCAGGAAAAGCAATTCCCAGTGGGGCCAAACCCCCTCCTTATCTGCCCAATGAAACAACTAATTTCTTTATGAGATGGCTGCACGTAAAACTGAACACGAGTCTGTCTTAGATCCTAAAAACCTTCTTCAGAGTCATTGCAGTGGAAAATAAACAAGGCTCTAAAAAGCTATTGAAATTTGCCTATATTAAGGGTAAGCCTGAATTCTAAAGTAAAATATCTGTAACATACAATTCATATAGAGTTTATACAAGTTTCTGTGATGCTTGGCATCAGTTTGAATCTTTAATTTATACACCAGTACATTTTATTTAAACTTTTTAAAAGTTTTTTTCCCCAAAGGAATTTTTCTTTTCCTGGCACACTGAAAACATCCGTATAAAACTGACGCTGGGAACAACAGAGATGGCAATGCAGTATTTGGTGCCTGCTGGATCACTGACAGCATGGGGACATGACGGGACCTGAACAACAAGGAGATGCCAGAAGGCTTTCCCTAAGGAAGGAATACACTTTATCATTTGACATTAATTTTGCACTCATGGAAGCTTAATTAGAACAGGAGGGGCAGAAACCACAACACTGAAACAGGGAGAGGATGGGAGAGTGGGCGTTAATTGCCACTCCAGCTTTTTGCTCCAGTTGCAGGTTTATCTTCTTGGTGATTAAACTGCTCATTAGCAGCTGTGTGCCCGGGGTATTTCAACCTGGAAGCATGTTCCTGTCAGAGATAGGGTGGTCAAGGGAAGAAGAGACAGGGGTGGAGGGCTGGGGAGGAGAAGCTCTCTAACCTCTGTGTTGGAAAAAGTAGAAAACACTGCCTACAGTTACAGTTTCTCCTTCGCGTTTATCTCAAACCTCAGATTCTTTACTCATTGTTAATCCCATCTGTTAACTGAGTTGGGAAAAGCATGGTAATAAATCTGGGATCAAAATGTTGGTAATGTTCATCGTACAGACCATACATCATTATATATTTGCATTTTACAGATTTTGGCTGACTGAAATTTCTCGTAGACCTTTACAGAGGTGACCTTTTTGTTACATTAGACTCCCATTTGCAACTCTCAAATAGGAAACGGTTCCAAACGTGTCTGAAGTGGTTAAATTTTCTTGAATACAGTTGCTAAATCCACAAACTATCTACTGCCATGCTGGTAGCAACTTTGCAGAGAGTCATAGTAATAAACCTGTGACTTCGCAGGTTCAAGGGCAGATGACAATCCTATGAAATAATCTATTCAGCATTATAAATCGACTAAACCAATTTTTCTGATGTTTGATAATGCTGAAAACTTGTTCATTGTACTCAGGAGTAGATGAAGGAGTTGGGACAATTTTGTAATTAATGTATGCCGAACAGAATTAAAATGATAGTGCTGGCACATGCTGTGACAGCAACTTAAACTATCACTTTTAGAATGAAGTAGTACACATTCATCATCTGTGCTACTGCAGCTTCCTTTAATGTTTTATTCAGGACGTAACGTAGCATTGAAAATTTCGAGTTTTCAGTCAAAATAAGGTATGTCCAGACTGACCTGTTTGGATCTCTCCATTTATGTTGCTCTTTCTGATGTAGGTAGTAAGGAAGCCTATATAGGGAACGTATCCTACATCTTACTTTTCATTTTTGTAATCTTGCTTTTCTGTCTGCAAGACACTGCTGGGGTTGAAAAACATCTGTTGGGAATGACTTAAGAACAGTTGATCCTGCTTTAGGGCAGAAGGATGGACTAGATGACCTCTTAAGATCACACCTAGTCCCATTATCTTCCACTCTTTTTAAAGGAATAAAACTACAGGGAAATGACACCACATGCTGAAGATAATTCCCCTGAGTAAAACCCACTCGGCATGAAAATATGTTAGCAATCAATAATTACCTGCAGGGAGCATGTATTTTGAGACAACCCATTCAATACAATCAACACAATGACCCTAAAAATTGTTGGGTTTTGTTTGGTTTGGGTTTGGTTTTGTTTTTTTTTTTTTTTCAGTACAGGAAAATAAAATGTGTTCTCTTTTGTGGTTACTTGATGTCTTTTGTTTGTAATCTGAACTAGCTTGATATTATTAAAGGAAAAATTCATTCATATTTAAAACACAACATGCAAATGACAAAGCATGAAAGAACGTTAGAGTTCCTCATAGTTCGTGTAGAGCTTAGGGCAGAAAAAGTCATTTTGCTAGGAATAATTGCTGCACGTAGTTGATGATATGTTAAAAAAAAAAAAAATGCAGGCATGCAAAGACCTGAGTGCATGTGTAACTTGAAATAGGCAAGTGTCCCACTGCACTCAAGAGTTATCAAAGGGAAATTTCCCTTTGTCTTTGAAGTTAAGCACAAAATTAAGGATTTGCAAGTTCAAGGCCCTAACATACTGTCCATATGAATGTTATCCTTCCAGTTACAACATTAAATAACAATGAGTTAAATCTTTATATGTCTAAAAGCTTTGCATAAATAATTACTGAGAAATTGCTTGTTTGGAAGCACATTGCAAATTCGCCGATTAATTTTTAATACCTGTAGTTAACCTCTTCCACCTTCAGAACATATTGTGGCACGTTTGAATAATCTCAGAACAATTTAAAGAGTATTGCCCAAGAACTCACTAAGAAGGTGTTTATTAAGACAGCCCTGCCTGGTTTGCGTTTAGTGTGAAGCTATAAAGGATGTTAAGAAATGGATGATTTATGGTGGACCTCCCGAAAACACCTCCTGATTAAGAGCCACACTCAATCTACCAACCATTAACACTTGGAGTTGCGACTTCTGTGACTGTTTTGCCATCCACAGCAAAGGCAAGGGGACAGGAGATAAAAGCAGCAGCAGCTAGACAAAGGCTCTCTGGCGTTTGCTATCTAAGGAGGGGCGTGGAGGGGTGGAGGGTAGACATGCCCAAGTATGTTAAGCCTATTTGATAAACAAAAAATGATGATCCAACAACCGAAA